GCGACATCTGGGCGGCCGCCCTCGCCGGTGGGCGGCAGCTCGAGGGACGCGAGGCGGCGGCCGCCGTGGCTGGCGCGCTGGCGCGACGGCGCCGGCTGGAGGCGTAGCAAATTCGCGGTGGGCTGTGGCCCTGGCCTGCGTACGCCGGCAGGCGGCACGCGGACTGCCGGCGACTCTCGTCGCTCCCAGGTAAAGCCGTGTAGCTCCCACGGAGACAATTCGAGACAATGTGTTCGTTTGCTTTCATTAAGCTCTCAATAAAAAGGCTGGGAGAACTCGCCCCATCGTTTTTGCTATGCGGGACAAAGGGGTGCTGCTTTCACATCACATTCACAGTGTGAAAAAAAATCACATACCTCGAAGCGAGGTACGTCATAATACGGGTGAGCCCGTGTTCCTGTCATAAGAACGCAAAGAGCCCAGCTATGAACTCGCCGGCGACATCCAAAATCTCTCCAACGGCGTCAGCAATCTCGCCAGCTTCCTCTGCTGCAGCTTCCGCCGCTTCACCGGCTGCTTCTTCACCAGCGGCAGCATCTGCTTCAGCGGCTTCCTCAGCCGCCTTCTCAGCAGCTTCTTGTGCTTCTGTTGCCTTCGCTGCATCCTCGGCGCTGGCGGCATCGTGGTAGCTCTCCTCTATTTGGTTTGTGACAGCGTCCTCGCCGGGCACCACCTCCTGTTCGATTGAATCCACTATTTCATCGGTGGCCTTACCTGCTTGCTCTTGCTCGGCCATGTCGGCTTCCTCATTGTAGTCCACTGTTTTATCGGCCTCGGCATCGTTCTCTTCATTAAGTTCCTCCTCCTCCTCCTCCTCGACTTTCTCCTCAACCTTGTCCTTGTCCTCCGGCGAACACTTGCTTCGTCCGATCAAGTGGTTAATCGTGTCTGTCATCCCTGTCGTGCAGGCCGTGTAGCAGAGGTGCTGGCAGAGCTCCGCCCCAGTGGGGACATCGAGGCCCGCGGACGCGAAAATGTTCTCCGTACTGCTACACACGCCCTTGGGTAGCGTGTCTTGCGTTACCTTCATCGCTACGTCGCAGCCCTGCGTACACGCGAAGTTGGTGGCCGTGCTCACCCCATAGTCGAACAAGTCTGAGGCGGAAGGAACAGAGATCACGCCGTCAGTGGGGAAAGACATCGGGATCCCTACGCACTGTGCTGCAACTGCCGAGACCGCCCCGCTCAATTTCTCGCGAAACAAATCCTCGCGCCATTGCGGGGACTGCCACCGTGTGGACTCCAGCGAATCGTCTAGCTCCGCGGCGCCGTCGGAAGGACAGAACTCGACCAAATACTTTTTGCCCACTTCTCAACGGTGGCGTCAAGTCGTGATGTAACTTTACTCGAGATGACCGACTTCGCGAACGCGGTTGTCGCCAGCTTTTGGATATCGGCCCACGTGGCAGCCAAACACTCGTTCCAGGTATCCTTGGATGCAAACTTGGTGATAGCGCGGATAGTGGGACAATCAAATTTCCAATTCCCGTCTGAGTCGATGCCATAGTTGCAAAGGGTATTGCACTCCGAACCATAGCACGTGCCAAAAGGCCCTTGTGTGACGTCCTCCGCTAGCGTCAAGTCAGCTTCTTGTGTAGGCGCTGACACATCGTTGAGGTGGTCAGCGAGTGCCCGGCCAAGCCCTGAAGCGTATATCTGACGCTGCCCTGGGCTCACCGTCCTGAGGCTGGCGTTACAAAGACGGCCAGCGGCAAACCACACAGCAGTAAGGCTCATGGCAGTAGACGCATCGATGACTTCTTTGGTGGCAAGGTCTCTTACCACACACCCGAACCACGAGCGTGGCAGACATAGCCTGTGGAGAGCATTGTGACCTGTCCGTTGTACGCAGCACCGTTGGAGAGTGGGGCGACAAGGCGACGTGCCTGCTCCCGCGGAGGGGTAATCAGCTGTCACGTTGAAGTAGTTCCGCTGCCCCCAGGGACTCTCCACACTGTAGTCAGACGACGACGGCACGTAGTCGAAGGACATCCGACAACCGTGTGTCCATACGGGTAGATCATCGAAGTCTGAGGCCAGATGTAAGTGCCATCGGTGAACATTTCGATGAGGATCGTACTGACTAATTCGGAAGTGGCAGCATCGAGCATATCGAGTACCAGCCAGTCGAAAATCAAGTATTGATTGATGTGCGTGTGGAGGATTTCAGTGCCAGGCGCTGGCGCCAGACTAGTCGTCATTTCGTTGCCATCGAGCGAGGTATAGTTTCCGCCAGAAGCGACGACTAAGTCGAACCCAGCGTTGTTCTCCCATTGTTGCACATATGGCTTGCGGTACATCCCTTTATGCACGGCGGGCTGCCGGACCTGCGCAGGCGGGGGCTCGATGCT